GAAGTAGATACGTGAATATATACAGAGAGAGGGAGCTTCAGTATTCTTGCATCACATAGAAAAAGACAATGCAACTAAATGCCACTGATATCGTTGAAGATACCATCAAATGAATGGGGTGAAATGCCTGAATACTTGGCAGAACAGTGCATTCTATAAAAATTACTAGCTTCAATTTTTTTACCCCTCCCTTTTTATTGCCTTCTATTAGTGGAGTGTTTGTATGGTACCCTCTAGGCACAAATTATTGTTCTAATCAGGGCTATAAAACATTGAAACTTCAAAGATATTGGGCAAGGATCTGGCTGGGTGCCTTGCTCTTTTCAGTAACTCCCATTGCCTATAATTCCTCTGAACTAGACCTCTCCCATTGCACACTGCCTTTCTTATCATGAAAGTTCTGGGTAGATGTATCCTGTACTGGTGCTGCTTGCATTAACCCCAAATGTTCTAGCCAGGATCTGTTAGAAAAGACAGCAAAGCTCAAGAAATTCAGTGTTGCTATAAACACTTCAGACCAACAAACATAAGGAGGGGGACATATTGCTTGATATTGGCTGACACAACTCCTCCCTGGAGGAATCAGGGAACTCTCTGGAAATAATCAAGTCCACAATGTCATTTGACAACATTTTCAGTTGAGTTTCTCCTCTGACTATGTGGGGCAGAGGCAGCCATCCCATGAGGTAACAGATATGGGGTGTCACTTGAAGGCAATTATGTTCCCTTTGTTGTTGTTGTTGTTGTTGTTGTTGTTGTTGTTGTTGTTGTTGTTGTTGTTCCTTCAAATTATTTCCAACTTATGGCAACCCTAAGGTGAACCTGTCATAAGACCTTATCACACGAGGGAAATCCCATGCAGAAACGGGATTTAAAAGGTGGGGGAAAACCTGCAAAAGTGGGTAGATTTTCACACACATTGCTTTTTAACTGTGCTTAATCTGAACGGAAAATAGTCAAAAGCCACTTCTTTTAACTTTGAGGGTTTTCCGAAAGTAAAAAGAAGCAGCTTTTGAGAACTTTCCATTCCCTGAGTCCTCCAGGGAGGAGTTGTGTCGGCCAATATCAAGCAATATGTTCCCCTCCTTATGTTTTAAAAACAACGTGGTCTGAAAATCTACCCACTTTTGTGGTTTTTTTCCTATTTAAAAACTCCATTTCTGCATGGGATTTCCCCCATGTCCACAGGGTTTTCTTGGCATGGCTTTTCAGAGAGGGTATGCCATTGCCATCCTCTGAGGCTATGGCTTACCCAGAGTGATCCATGGCCGAGCTGGGATTTGAACCCTGGTCACTCAGTGTCCTAGTCCCACACTCAAACCACTACGCCACGCTGGCTCCTTATGTTCCCTACTAATTTTTTTTAAAAAGCTATTTGCAATAGCCATTTCCGGGATTAAAAATTCTTATAGCAGTTTTACCTAAGCAATTAATTTTAGATTTCAAGCCAGAGATTTCTCTCCAAATTTTTGTGTCAGTGTTCTGGGGAATACTCAAAACCACTCCTATCACCCAAAACAATGTAATTTGGAATCAATCACAAAAACAACAAATTCACAAAGTATCTTCTGTAATTAATGCTGCAGTCTTATAGTATGCACATTTACCTGGAAGTAAATCAACTGAGCATAATACTTGTAAACCAGTATGTATAAATTCAATTGTAAACCTTGATAGATTCTTTTTTTTTTTTTTAGTTTAATTTGTTCAAAATGTTCTTATCTACATGGTTTACTAAAGCAATTATCAGTAACCAACTAACCATTAATATTAAGCTGCCTGAATGACCTTAGGAGCATTACACCCTCTCAGCCTAACCTAACCTGAAGCATTGTTGTGAATAGTGGCAGAGGAAGACCCAGGATAGGTTGGATGGGTTTGTTTGAAAACTGGAAATGTAGTGCTCTGGACCTCTGTATGAGTACTAAAGTTCCACACAATAGAGGTCCTCTCATTTCATGAACCATGACAAACCAAGGCTGCTGATGAGAAACTATAAATCCATCAAATAAAGAGTCATCCTCTTTAAAGTAGGACATATAATGTGTCACGGATAATGATATTTGGGGCAGAAATGGGAATATTGTTAGTCAGCCTTCTGTATTCATGAATTTTCTTATTCACAGATTCAAGCATCCACAGTCTGGGGGGGGGGGGGAATTAAGAATATAAATTCCAAAAAGCAAACCTTGATTTTGCAATACAGCAGAACCTTGGTATCCACTTGGTTTCAGTTCCAGGATCCCCATGGATACCTAAATTTGTGGATGCTCAAGTTCCATTAAATACCATGGCATAATAAAAGGATATCCCTTATATAAAATGGCAAAACCAAGGTTTGCTTTTGGAATTTAAAACATTTTAAAGTATTTTCAAGCCATGGATAGATGAATCCATAGATAAAAAATCCATGGATACAGAGGGCCAACTGTATTATATAAGGGACACCAATTTACTGTGCCGTTGTGTTTAAAGGGACTTGAGCATTCACAGATTTTGGTGGATGCTCAAGTCCTTGGAACCAAACCCCAGCAGATACCAAGGGCCCACTGTACTATTTCTCTCTGGAGAGTGACAGTGCTAAAGCAAGTGAATATGGGCTTTCCAAAGAATGTGGCAAGTGAAAATTTAAAAGATAATTAAGATATTTTGCTGCTTGAGCCTCTGTACCAAATGGTAGCTCACACCAATGACACAAAGCATATATTTCCCTGAGGCCATATCCACATGGTGGAAATAATCCAGTTTGACATCATTTAAACTGCCATGGCCCAGTGCTATGGAATTCTAGGTTTTGTAGTTGTGGCACCAGAGCTCACTGGCAGAGAAGGCTAAATGTCTCACAAATTACAAACCCCAGAATTCCATAGCATAGAGCCATGACAGTGGTAGAGTCAACCTGGATTATTTCTGCAGTGAGAAAGCAGCCTCTGTCGGGCAAATTATTTTGCACCTGGGGCACAAAATCCCACAGGAATGTCACCTACTCCATGCGATTAAAAATATATCAATAACAAAGCAAATAACTGACAATTCTTTGACCTTCCATGACATTGTAAATTAGCTGCCTGAGGTGGCCACCTCACCCTGCCCATGGAAATTTGTCTGTATATGAACATTATATGCCCTCTGCCCAGTTAATGCATACTTATGAGCAAACTCATGCAATTTGTGTTTCTTGGATGTTGAGATAGTTATAAGAACTAGACATTTGACTTTTAACCAACACAATCAAGAGTGAGTTTTGGGGAATATGAAATGCTGAACATTACTTAAAGAAAACACAAAATCTGTTACCAAGAGGAATTCTGGAAAGTGGAAGAGCATCATCTAATCCAGAATATGATTCACTATCACAGGTTATATCTGAACAGTTGAAATATAATCAGAATATATTTTGATTTTAATGTCATTTAAATATATTTATATTCAAGCAACTGTATTTGGTTTCCTCAGATTTGTCATTATATCTGAGTCACAATCTGGGGTTAATTCATTTATTATACAAAGAAAAAAATGATACTTTTTCAAGAACATTTGATCATTTAGAAGACGTTTAACCTTAAGATATGAAGCCTAAGTCCAAGATCCTAGAAAGCTAGGAAAGTGTGACACTTTTGCTGGCATAAGTCTGCAGAACTGCAGAGAGATCTCCTTATGCAAACTGCCAGCATGTGCATAAACTTTCTTGGACTTTATACTCCAAAATAAGCAAATTAATGAATAAGTAAGAGACACTGGCAGGGCAAGCCCTCTCATTAGGCAGAATGAGAAAGTTGTGTGAACTAGCAGATATATAGGAAAGTAACAATCCCCACCCCATTTCTCTTCAGGCCTCTGACAATTCTCTTTTCTTGGATGAAAAAACTATGAATGCCACATAGCCTGCCCATTACCCTCTAAAGCAATGTGCTACACTCAGTACAGTATGGAACATTAACCCATTGTCAGTGTTGAAGTGAGATTCAACTGCCAGTCTAGACAGCTTCTGTATGTATGAATGGAGAACCCATTTTTATATTGCCCGAGACACAAAATTTCTTAGGCCAGCTCCTAAGCTGGGTCCAGGTTCACCACCAAGCAAGCTAGATGTCTGTATGCATCAGAGGTCTTGTTATGCTGAAAAGTAGTGAAGGACAAGGAGAAAATGTAAAGATGGCTACATGGAATGGGCTTTTTGTAGACTGCTCAAGTGGGAGCTCTCTTATATTGGTGGTGGTGGAACTTACCTCTAAGTAAATTACTAATTCCTACCTTGCTCTCCCTTTTTATTGTAAGCCGCTTGGATTGATTGTCAATAAGCGGGATATAAATTAATTATTATTATTATTATTATTATTATTATTATTATTATTATTATTATTATTATTATTTATTCTCTGGCACTTCTTCCAGTTTTCTCATCATGGTGAGACATTAGAAGAATGTCTCTATGCTGATGCTTCCTCAGAAGATGTCCTGCTGTCTGTCTTAACCACCTTACGAGAACAGACTTATAAGTACAAGAGAAGTGTCTTTTCCAGTACTGGCACCTCAGTTACAGAGCACCTATCCAAGGAAAGTCAAGCTGGCACCATCCCTTTTGTACTTCCAGTGAAAAGCCAGGAGTACATTATTTTGTATGGTCTTTGGTAACTAAAAACAAGTCTGGGGGTGGGGACTTTTCCAATTATTTGTGTTTTTAAAACAGTTTGAAATAATATGTTTATCTGTTTTCATTAGGATGAGAGGTATTAAATGTTTTAATAAATATTAAATAATTAATATGCCAATTTGTTGTGCTTGTGCTTCTGCTATTTAAAAAAGTGTTATAAAAAGGCCAAAAGAATATCCATAAAAGATGGCTAAGGTAGGGGTCAGTGAAGGATAAATCTCCATGATAGTGCCTTCTAACTTCTAGGGATAGAAAGAATATGTTTTTAAAATTCAGAAAATGTGTTGTTGTTTTTAAATTGTGTTTCTCGAGTGTCAGGAAACCCTGATGAGAAGATGGGAAGAATCCTGGACAAGAATCTTCACGGTTCAAGCCAAATTGCCAAATTGTTGTTGTTTTCTGTGCAAAAAGTTGTTTTCTGTGCAACTGCTACAATTTCTGCTCGCTACTTTCAGAAATGAAATTAGTGAAGAACTGCATCCCTTCTAAATTCCAAGGTTTAATGAAAGGGTATAATATAACTTGGGTATGGTGTCTGTATTGCTGCATCCTGAAATTAATGAAATAAATGAAATTCACAAACATTTGTGTTGTTTGACATTAGATTAAAGTCATTCTCCAATGCGTCTCAAGCTTTAAAGCCTAACTAAATGAAGTCCTCTTTGACTCCAAAGGTTAATCAGTAAATTGACTTTTTCAAGCATTGCAAGGTTTCAAAAGCTGGATCTAAGTCCAGGTATTTGTAGACATTTTTTTTTCTTGGACCATTTCTGTTCACTAGCAAATTGGAATAACAGCTGCTCCAGCATGACTCTAGTGAAGGTTGGGCAACCTCTGGAGTGGAATTTGCATTGCCAGACTACAAGCATGATTGCGCAGCTATGCACCACCCTTCATTAGAGCCAGGGATATTCTTTCACACCCTGTCCTGCCTGGCAGAGGCAAGGCTGCACGTATGCCTCCAGACAATGAGGCTACTGCACCTTTTCCTTCTAATTAATAAGATTAAGAAGGGATGAGAGTGAAGTATATTTTCACCTGTGCTTGTAAGACAGTTGCAGAAATAAAACTGCAAGTCTTCTGATGTGTATCGTTTCAAGTGGCTTCTAATTAGGACATCTGTAGCCCTTGCTGTAGTGTGCCTGAGCAACCAGTAGATTTAGAGAACAATCATCAAACAAACCTGGTCAATGCTACATAACCATAAATATATATTGGTCCAACCACACTGCTCCCATCTTGTGACTGGAAGCTGAAGCCCATTTCTATGCTGCAGGAAATGAATTTGTAACAATCTTTCGTCTTTACCCACACACTCCCAAGTATTCTCCCTAAAATCATACTATATTTGGATGATGGTGAAACCATGGCTACTTATAGTATCACTCCAATACACTGATTGGAGAGGGATAGGTAGTTTCAACCCACCATCTCACTGAAGCCACAAATAGTAAAGTTAGACTGGAAAAGGTATGGAGGAGCTTGTGATCTAGTAGTAGCCCATAGTGGCTTATACTGTAACGTCATCCAAGAAAGAAAAAAAGAGAAAAGAGACAAAATATCTGAATAAAATGGTAATATATGCCGCTTCATTGTGCATTTATAAATACAGTACAACCCCTATATCTGTGGGGGGATATGTTCCCAGGCTTACTGTGGTATTGCAAAACTACAGATAATAGCA